TCTTACAGAAAATTACGAAAAAAAATAAGGCAAAGATACAATAACAGCAATGAAAAATTAGAATACGGTGAGGAACCAGAAAAACAATGCTGAAAATTTGCTTACAAAATTATTTATTTATGAACGTACTATTTTAGCGAATGGAATATCCATGTTTTTTATGAATTCAACAACCACTCATCGCAGAAATATTAAGATTTCGCTCTGTTAAAGCTTACAAAAATATTTTTTCAATTTTTTTTTTCAAAAATCTGAGACAAATTCAGTGCAAACGCGATCGTTGATAATATAAAAAAGTTGAAATAAGAATCGAATCGAAATGTACGCAGCAAGGCCTGCTTAGTTTACTGAAGATTGACAGAAACGAAGACTTCGCCTACAATGAAAGCTGGGATGAAAAAAAGCAAAAATACGATAACAAAATGCGAAAAAACAAAGCGGGCGACACAACGCCTGGAAGAACTGTGAAGTTTGCCCAAATATTTAGTCCTCAGAAGTTGCACTGGAGAAACCGTCACATTCATGCAAATGTGTAGCCCAGAAACCATCCAGCAACGAAGCCACCCAACAGATAGCCATTCTGCCGCACAAAACTATCCATCGGCAATATACCACTCTGAAACACTGCATTAAAATACAAAAAAGCAACATTTTTATTGAGAAGTGTAAGTTAAGTTAAAAGTGCCCCTTTCCCTCACCCCCTTCCCGCTCCCCCCTCCATTCCACGCTATTTTCGATCTTTATAAGAGAGCGAGTCACTCGGAAGTAGTCTACCAACTGACGATTGCTTTTTCTTTCGGAAGTTGCTTAGAAGCAAATTCATGTTACTTTATCTTACGATACTCAGCAAACTAAGAAAAATATCGTCACTTCTATACCCACTAAGTGATCTAATAAGTTAAAAATAGAGATAAAATAGTGATAATTATAATGAAAAACAAAGTCATAATCATAATATATACAGAATCGTAATATACTGACATTAGTAACAACGCAGAAATATTAGGAATCGCAGTAATAATAATAATAATAATAATAATAATAATAATAATAATAATAATAATAATAATAATAATA